GACCCGGGTTCTTGCACTGGCATCCAAGTCAACATGTATTGGTCGTGATGGAGCAAAGGGATGGATCGTTTCTTGACGGGGAGTGTCAATGTAGTTGAAGATTGAACGATCAATTCATGGTTGTTTGCTCAAACCCAACTCCTCCATATCTTTCGCAGGAGTCGTCAATACGGTAGTCATCGTCTCATCGTTCGCTGTTCAGTGAAGATAAAAATACTATCAGAAGTATTATCGTGATTTACTGTTATGACATTTATTCTTAGACCTTGTGTAATAACATTATTGTTGGTCATATGTTGGCGTAAGAATAAAGGATTCTTGAGTCGCCAATCTGTGTTCTGGTTTTCGCTTTGTTTAATACAAAGTGTTTTTGAAAGTCTTCGAGGGACAGTGTGAGGTCCAGCATAGGGAGAGCTGGACATCGAAAATTCATGAGATTTGGCTGACAGAGGATATACTCAATGCTGAGTATCCTAAGGAAGCACTAGACTGAGGTCAAAATACGTCCCTATACCTCCGTAACACTGCAGTGTTGTGGCAGTGAGAATCACAGCAGGTGTCACCCTAATGTTCTGACTAAATCCAAGGAAAAATTGGAAGTCAGGCCGGTTATATTGGAGTCGGCCAACTAGTCGCAATATAAAATCCTCTGCCAGAAGACAACGTAGCGTCAACCACCCCACAACACGCCGAGATTGTGAGACCCACTGTCAGCAATGAAAGAGGGTAGAAGGGGAAAGCAGGCGAGCTCGGAAGCCTCCAGTCATGCCTACACCTTAAAATAATCATACTGACTGAAACCTGGCTAACCACATTGTTGCCGACAATTAAATCAATATAAATGATTTGTTTCTGGTCAAGCGAGAAAGGAATAACATGGTAAGGGAGGGGTCGCCACATACTTTGATAGGCAACTTAGATGTGTGCGTGCGACGTGCCCACCACTCACTGAACTTCCAGACTCTATATGGTATCATTTCACTCCTGAGCTCTTTCTAAGGTGAGACCACACCTTAAAGCGCACAATATCATTGTTCCCCTACTGCTTTGAGGAGGCGCGAACTTTTTGTAAAGAGTTCACTGACTAGTGACAAAAGGGGTGATGGATCTCCCAAGCAAACCGTATGATGAAGGGATAAAGAAATCAAGCCTTTTCACACTTGGTTGCCGTTGGCTTGGGGGCTTATTCACTGCCTATAAGACTACAAATGACAAGAATCACTCAAAGAAGGTGTTCTACCATAAATTATGTATGGGATTCCAGGAGGGAATATACATGTATATGTATATATAGGTTTTCTTCATTTCTTTCCGTCTTTTAGTCTGCATAACATACAATAATCATATCTGTTATTATTATTGTCTCTTCTCTTTTATCGACAAAACCGGAGGACTTACCGGTGAAACGATCAGTTCTATTCACAGTAGCAGCACGGTCTGAACGCACCGTATACAACAACCTACATATAATTAATCCAGGCAGCACTCCTTTTGGAGTCAACCAAAGCTGCGAAAGTCGAGTGGCAAGACAGACTACTCAGAAGTTTATCGAAGACCAGGAATTTTTACCTCACAACCTAGAAGCGAGCATAAAGAAATCAAATTGGTTTACATTAGCTCGCAAAGACCACATTGGATATCGGGTATAAGGCATATGTGAGGCCACACCTTGAGGTGCATAATATCATTGCACCCCCGCTACTCGAAAGGGATGCTAACATTCTAGAAAGTGTCCAGAGACGAGCGACAAAATGGGTAATCGGCCTCCGCAACAAATCATATGAGGAACAACTAAAGAAATTAGGTCTTTTCACACTTAGTTACCGAAGGCACAGGGGAGACCTCATCACCGTCTACCAAATCCTAAATGACCAGGCCCACCCAAATAAAAGCATCCTGCCATTAAGTGACTATAGGCTTCCACGAGGTAACCCGCTAAGGATAGCACACCAGAGACCAAAGACTCGAGTGCGATCACATTTCTTTTCGCTTTGTGTTTGCCGTCTCTGGAACGCTTTACCGGCGGCCGTGACTACAGCGCCTTCTCTGGAGATTTTTAAGCGGAAGCTAGACAATCATGCAGAAATGCAAGGTTTGTGTCTCAATGGCTTATCCCCATAAAACTTGAAACCACACTGTCAATGGATAAGCGTACAAACTAAATCCCCACGACCTATTCTGCCTCCTCTCGCTCTATCTTTTCCTTAGGTCACCTTTATTATTCCACTTATCTCAACCTATATTACCTGCACTGCAACCCATTATTTTTATTCTTATTATTATTACTACTATTCTGCTTTTATGACTACACCGAATGACCAACGGGAGTTAGGTCAAACTCCATTCACGGCAGCAATACAGTCCTAACCTACTGCATACTACAAACCACATCTCGACCAATCCTCGCACCACTCCTCCTGGAGTCTACCAGAGCTAAAGCAGTCGAGTGGCGGGACTTACTACGCAGAAGCTCACCGAAGATCTGGAACCTCTACCTCACAATCAAGAAGCGAGCTCAAAGAAATCACTGGTTTATACTAGCTCGTAATCAGGATATTGGATATTGGATGAACTTTTATCGCGGGCTTTTCTTAATCGTGGCGCTTCGTAATTTGTTTGCGCTCACTAGACATTTAGTGAACACTGTGGTCGTTGTTTCTTAGAGTGATATCTACAACACTTTAGGAAGAATGGAAGCTTTTGTACCGATAGAAAATTAGGAGATTCTGCATCAGTTCTACGAAAATTAGTTATGTATTCCTGGAATATGTAACAAATGTGCAGCAGGTAAGTAACTGTTATCAAAGTACTACAATTTTTTTAAAGCAGTATTCATATATGGTCACTGAATTGGGTAGCATCTCATCTATCACAAGCTCAAAAGTGTTTTTTAACTTTGTTATATGGGAAAATTAAGCGAATTATGTGGATACAAATGTCGTCCATTAAAATACTGGCCAGTATTTGATGTTAAACACCAGTGATGCTTTAGGATACTAGTCTAAGAATTTATTTTGTCATTTTAGTGTTTTCGGAATTTGAGTTTCACATAACACATCTGTGTTGAATCACGTTTTGTTCATTGATGAAAATAGGGAGCGTATGCAGGACAAAATGGCTGCCTGTCAACATATATATATATATATATATATATATATATATATATATATATATATATATCGTTGAATGTCATACCTTATGAGATAGGCTTGCAACCGACAGAAATGACTGTGGTTTCGTAAATGGGAATACAGCTTTATATGCTGAAAGTAGGTGCTTTAGCAAGACGCGAGTGAAAACCGGCTATCTGTTTTTTAGAATGGTCGGCATGAGAGCATTTGTCGTGGTCCCAGAGTACTAACCTTAATCACCTAATGCTTGTATAACCATTAAATAAGTCAAATTATATATATGTGTGTATATATATGTATAATTATTAAATGTGCGTTACCTTAGGTCTCTTCACCTCAGCAGGGCGAAAATGAAAATTCTCTAAATCTATGTTAAACTCTAAATTAACCCGATACTGTAGAACGAAGAGGGACTTGTAGAATACGACTGAGATGAAACTTTTGAATTTCCAAAACGTTAGCTCTAACATATTCTGCGCCATTAGGCTGACACTAATCGTTCTCTTAATGAACGACCCTAATTCATATTTAAAACTCTTTTTATCAATTACACGCGTTGGTTTCAAAGGCACAGACTTTTTTAAGATCAGATTTCACTGCATTTGTCGAAACCGACGAATCATTCTAACGGTTACAGTAAAACATTAATCATTCTTTTTTCCTTGGGGCCCGAGTGGAACATGCGGATTTAACAGCATATCTCTATTTCCTCTTGTTCTCTGCAGTCCCTTTTACCTGGCTGCATAATATTCCATTAGCTTTCATCTCTTCTTTATATAATTTCCAACATATCTGTCTCAGATAACCTACCCTTCACTTCGTATTCGGGTTCTGCTCGAAAATCTGCCTGCCGAGTGATTTCACTCAAGACCTCCTCAGAGTCTATCCAATTGATCCCCCTTTGTCGAGTAGTAGGTTCTTAATTTGGCCATCGCCATATTACCTTGTTACTAATCCTTCTAGCCGCCAAACTTTCAGTATTGAACGAAGTCAAATACTGATGAAAGTCCGCACTAGCCTGTTGAAAATTCTTTTCGTGCTTTGCACACTGAGTCTCTAAACTGTAGAGAAGCACTCAGTAGACTTTAGTTTTAAAAATCCAATTCTTATGCTGAGTGCAGCACATTTCAGTACTGATTTTAGATAAACAAAGGTCCTTTACGATCCCGACTGACTGGATTTGACAATCTTATCTGTAGTTGGAAAGGTGTTTCGGAGGTAAGTAAAGTAGTTCACTTTATTTAGGTTTCTCTCAGTGTTGATGATAGGTGCTTGTTGGTGGATATCCTCATCACCTTAGTCTTCGCTATGTTTACTTGAAGTCCCGTCTTCGCTGCTTCTTCTGTCAGCTTGTTGGTTTTCACTTGCAAACTTTCGAGTTTTTGTGATATTAGACATCAATCATACACGAAGTCCAGAATAATCGAGAACTTTCTTATCACTCCAATGCACGCCTCTCTTCTTGTTCCTCACAAACTCCTGCATGATTCAATCCATGGCCGTCATGAATTTCTGAGGTGATAATAGGTATCATCGCCTTATTCCTGTAAAGTATACTGGCAGTAACAGTATTATGTCTCAAGTCTTCTAGAGTGACAAACAGACCTCATGTGGTATCGTTCATAGGACAAAGAAGTATTAATAGCGAATTACTGGTTGGTAGAAATGCCTGCATGGTGTATATTACTCAACTTATTGTGTACCTGACCATCTGGATTCTGTGTAGTTATCTTAACCTTTTCATAGTTTGAATGTGCATTCATACTGTAAGCAATATTCTCTTTGCAATATTATGCCTATTATAAACCAACCTTTTATTTAGAGGCCAACTTAAACCAGAAGCGAATACTGAGAAAGCTGCTGACAAACATGACTGATAGTGAGAATAAAAGTGAACGTCCACACCAAAGAAGACATCCTCAACTGCTTCGCCAGATGGAACAGGATGAAATTACCTTTGTGTATGTTCAATACATTTTCTTAGAATCATGTGTAAGCGTTGAAGAATGTGGAATATATACATATATATGTATATACGTTTTCAAATTTTGTCTGTTTGTAATATTTTTAAGTTCACAACTATTGTTATCAGATGGTTGGAGGTAGTCGGCAGGAAGCTTTCCCCATACCTAGGTTTCGTGCTGGTTGACACTTTCCTGTCAGCAAGGCGTATCTTCGATCTTGAAGGGTCTTATGCCCATTCTGAGTATCGAACCCGAGTCACTTGGTGCTGCAATTGGAGATGTTATCACTGAGGTATTTGGGCTCGTGACTGACCTCCTGTTGCACCGTAATGGGTACTTCTTCGCGACATCTATAAAATCCAGTAACTTTAAGTGAAAAAAACTCCTTAAAAACTGAAAGGTAAATAAGGTTGGTTGGGACTCATCTCTCTACCATAAGTCGGTCTCCAAATACATCTGTCATGTACATACCAAGGTAATCCGGAAAAACTCAGTGCTAAGTAGCCAAACCGGAAGCCAGATTATTAGAATGTAATTTGCTGAAATGTTAAAGGTAGAAAATTTCCTTCGGCCTAACTTCTTCAAAATTGTGGACCTAGTCCATTAAGTTTCACACTGTTACTACACAATACTACTCTCTATCTTTGAGACATTCCAGTAATATTTCTCACGTGTGCCTCTAAAACAATATGATGTTTCTCACCTACCTTTATGCAGTAATGTGATGTTAACCTTTCTCAACTGCATATAAGAAACAATTATTCAAGTGTTGGTTTGTAGGGATTTGGTTGATTGGTTACAGGATTTCATCATGAGCTGACATTAGTTAGAGAACCATTGGAAGCCTACCTGGGAGTACTGGACAACTGTTTCGTCCAACTAGTTTTGGACTCTTTAGAATTACGCACCCACTGACAGGGTTCGAACCCAGGACCTTCTGGTTACAAGGCGAGCTAGCTCGTATACCATTAAGCCATTGGGACCCGATCCAATGGCTAACCAATGAATTCTAACTTCTGCCAATTAACGACATAGCGCGACCGCTATTCACTGTCCTTGACTAGTTTGTCTTGTCCTCACACCCAAGCTGCTGCATCCTACTTTCACGACTTCTGAGCAGCAGGCCGTGCGTGAGGACAAATACTCGTCGAAGACATTGGCCAGGGGTCGCGCTATGTCGTGAATCGGCAGAAGTTGGAACTCATGGGCCATTGGATCGGGTCCCAGTGGCTTAATGGTATACGAGCTCGCCTTGTAACAAGGAGGTCATGGGTTCGAACCCCTGTGGTGGGTGCGTACTCCTAAAGAGTCCCAAACTAGCTAGACGAAACAGCTATCTAGTACTCCCAGGTGGGTTTCCAATAGTTCTCTAACTAATGTCAGCTCATGATGAAATCCTGAAACAATTATTGCTTAAAACTTTCAGTTAAAAGGTGAGAACAATATGTTTTTTAATGATAAAATAGGACCTTTAGATAACACAGTAGTTGAAAGTTTCTGTTCAGTTGAACTCATTGGGAAGGTATCCTCATGCAAAAACAAGAAAACGAGTATTTCTCAGTTATGAATGAGAAATTACTTCTTTTGGGCCAGTAAACTCTTGATACCCGTTTCATCCTGGTTTGGATCTCTCCAGCAGTACGCACCCACACCGAGGGTTTGACTCCAGGACCTTCGTAAGCTACAACGTAAGCTGGTAGACTATTCCGCTATTTGGATCCGATCCAGTGGCCCATGAACTCCAATTCTTGATTTCAGGGATTTGCAGTAGGTACGTTTTGATGAAGAGAAACAGCTATCCAGTACTCCCTGGTGGTTTTCAATGGTTCTCTTAACGACATCATTCCGTGATGAAATTTGGAAGTAATTAAATTCCCACCAACTAGCTCTTGACGAACGCAGCTGGGTCTGATGAAACCAGCCAGCCAGCTATGCCTAGCGTTTTGTGATTTGAGAACAGTTGGCATCACAACTAAACGAATGATGGATATTGATTGGTTCTCCTTATTCAGACAGTTGTAGTGAATTATTCGGTTTCCATTATCGCTAGTGTTTTGTCTGTTCATAACTCGTCAAGTAGTAGAAGCTCTAGGCATTCTCCTGAGATGATTGGAAATGAGAATACAGGTAAGCCAATGAATCCAATAATACACGCTGCTTTGGTTTGCCTTCAATTCCTCACTTTCTATGGCTGCTACCTTAATAATAATAATTTGCTTTATTCCAAAACAGCACTTGTGATACAGAATGGAATTCTAAGCATTTCACTAGAGTATTGCATCCAGTTTGTACATTAACAGTAAATAAAATTCTACGTAGATTAAGGGTAATCTCAGTTAGTCTTGACAACAACATATTGGTAGATCGGGAGCAAAGCCAAAATTGAACAGACTGTTTGAAGGTGTTAGAAAAGTAGATACTAGCATATTTACTGGCGTAAGCGGTAACAAAAAGGTCGAGATATACATAGTGTGAAAGAACGAAAAAGAATGTTTACAATAGAGTTTGTAAGGAAGAAAGAAACAAAGCAGCACATAACAGAGAAAAAAAGAGAGAAAAGGAAAAGAAAGAAAACGTTGTACCTATAAATGATATGCGTTGGAAAAACGAGATCAAGTTGTTCTACTGACTATTTAATAAGTCATAGGTATCACGCCTAATGCTTTCTTTATCGCACAGAACACGAACTAAGTAGGCTATGGTTGGGTTTTTTTACTTGCTAGTGCGAGCATATAGTTTTCTATAAAGGCTTCTGGTTCTGCCTGATTAGATAGATACAAAGGGAGAGTTGTGAATGAAGAGAATGGTGTGAGTTAGATAGATAGAATGGATTGAGCCTATTTTTCACATGAGTCCAAGTGCCTGTCGACCAGAATATTAACAAGCTGGTTAAGTGGCAAACTGCTTACCCTGCTGACAACCTTTAACATCCTACGTAATAAGGTATAGTCCTTCTTCAGTAGCCCTGGAAGTACTAAGGGGTAAGAATAGAGAATAATAGGCAGGATGCAAGGGTTAACGAATCGTAGGAGTAAGGGTTGGGTTATACCAGAACGTCTTAACTTCGTGATGTAGAAAGTAAGACGAAATATTTTCGTAGAAATTATCAAGATATGAGACGAGCAGGAAATATCAGCAGATAGAATGACGCCTAGGTATTTAATTTCCGACTTGGTGTCTACTTCAGTGCCATCCATCTATGTTGCACACCTCGTGAGTGCTAACCAGTTTGTTTAGGTCAGATTTATGCCTAAAGGTGAAATTGACTGTTTGGCATTTAGACGGATTTAAGGTAAGACCGTTTTTCTTGGACCATTGGCTGATTTCTGATAAAAAGCCATCTAGTTTGGAGCAGTCACTTTGACATTTGACAGGCGAAGATACAGTCAGGTCATCAGCATATTTAACAAAATTAATGTCATTTGAAGATGGTGGTAAGTCATGTAGAAAGAAAGAAAAGAGAAGTGAAGAGAGTACAGCACCTTGAGGGACACCAGCTTCAGTGAGCACAGCGGAGGATTTACCTTCGTATACAGTGTACTGCATTCTGTTTGATAAGTAGGAATGTATGGACTTTACAACATTTCTGTAGTATATCCCTATTTATAGTGTTTCTCTACTTAATTTTAATTTAGACAACCTAACACTAATGAAAAGGAATATAGTAATGGTAGTAGTAGCTGGAAGACTCCAAAACAGCATGGTCCCGACAGACTTTCATTGCATACAGAACATGCTACAACAAGTGATAAACCCACGTGTTCTTCACCAATGGAAAGTGATAAACAACAACAGCCACCCCACAGTAACCGTCATCATCTTCCACCAACACAAGATAGTCGGACTAGCAGTAGTACTGGAAGTGGAGCAACCGGGGGTACAAGTGCAGGAAGTCAAAGCAGTGGAAGTAAACAAGGCAGTGGCAGTGGGAGTAGCGGGGGTAAGCCTAGATTGGCTGGTTCAGGTGCACTTAGTCGTGGTACACGATGCAGTAGTAGTGCTTCATCGTCAACTGAAGAGACTGAGGCACGTGAAAAACGCTTCGGTAGTGTAGATCTCCATCCTTTGCCTAGTGTTGCACTAACAGCTATGATGAATCAGGCAATGCGACGTAGTTTGTATACTGAATCGTCTATTCAAAATACTGAACAAATTCAATATGCTACACTACTGGCAGCGCATAAAAGTTATGCAGATTCTTCTGGTCAAATTGATGTACAGTTAAGTGCAGCATCTGTCCCGCAGTCGAAAAATGATCTAGTCAGTCTGTTGTCACAACAAACAGCAACTCGTAATAATATTAATAATAATAATAATTCAAATTCTCCAGAATCATCTGTTTCTAATAATACGACTGCTGGCCAGATGGATACACCACAGTTGAATCAAAATTTTCTACTGCAATTATTTCCACCTAACTTATTGTCAAGTAAGTTAGTATATATATGAGTTTAATATGCATTTATAGATATAAATTTCAAAACCTAATCGTCTTTAAATCGTTTTGTTAACACATTTAAAATAGCTCAAGGCTTTCTTGTTAGTCGGTGGTCTGCTTTGTAAATTAGTTCACACACACACACGTTCAAGTATTTTGAATGGATAACAGAGTTTTTAACTTAACACAACAGGTTGATCAAAATCACCGCAGTTCACGTTGTGACACTGTGTTGTAACACACATAGTGAAATCCTGTCTCATTGAGAACGACTTTGATCCAAATGGCACTCAATCCGTTATTCCATATTAGTTTGTTTATTAGATGTATCACACACAGTCAGTGAAACAGTATTAGCATTTACTGGGTGACACAGTTTCGAACACAATTTGTCACTGTTCATAATCATCTCATCAATTGTAATCACACGACTTTGAAACTAGAGTTTTATGGTTTTCTTTGTCTCCTCCTATTTGTCGTCGTAGGCGTGGTAGTAGAATTTTCCAGATATCTGACTGGACAGGTGTTGAGTCATTCCTAATACATGTATTCTCTTTCAGTTGATTCGATAAACAAAGCTTCTGTTATCAATCTCTCCGTCCCTCCACCCTGTGACATTAGATTTAAAAACTGTCATCCTATCCCATCCATCCTATTGTATGGTAGTGTGTAAGTGCATGTAGTGAGTGCTATAAGTGAACTATTCTCTGAATTTCTTATCTTACTTGGGTCAACCGGTCTAGATTTCGGTGCTAGGTTTTTATGTTCGGCTAGTCTGACTGACTGCCCTGTTCTACTAGTTTGACCTATATATTTGACCTGACAATCATTGCAGCAGCGTATTAGATAAATTAAATTGTTTTGTCTGATAGGCTCCACAGGATTGATGGTTTAACCGACAAAGCTTGTTTCTAATTGAGTTTGTGGTGGTGATGGGGGTTGAATGCCAGCCACTTTTATACCTGACTCCCTTGTTAAGAATTCTGCGTAAGGTGGTTTCCGAGGTTCCTTCCTTGTGTGGAATTACTACTGATGATTAAGATTCCTTATTGTTGGTGCCGTCATTAATATTATTATTATCATCACTATCGCTACTATCATTATTTATTTTATTTTCACATTTCCTTATATATTTCCTGACTAATTTATCCAGGTAATTATTAAGTTTCAAGGCTTCTTTTATGTGTATCACTTCCTGTCTTAGAATTTCCTATAAAATACATACTTAAAAAAACAAAATAACTAAATTCACATAAGCTTTGATACTTACTTATTCATCCTTTATTCTTTTTCTGTCTTTTGTAAAACTATTAGGATTAATCTGCCCTGTTCATGCGGATTCTTTACTTGCCCAACTATCTCATAGTCTTTTAATACGAAATAATAATAATAATGGTAAGCAGTTTTTCCGAATGATGATTATTTGTCATACGTATGTGTTATTGTCATTTATTTATAAGAAAATATATTGTCAACATTGAGACCTACCTGTTGACACGAAAATGTGGAGCATTCATCAAATTACACAAAAGTACATAAGTATTATTATTATTGTTATTGTCTTGGATCTAGGGCTTCAAAAACACGTCTTCATTTCATTCACACTTTTTCCCCTCCTCTCCTCTCCCCTCCACATTTAGCTGACTCCATAATTGTCCTAAAGCTCACATCTACTTTTCATACGATATCCACTATGTCACTCTCGGACCAAATACCCAACTCTTTATCTCGCTTTCTGCTGGAGGGTCTGCCTGCCACACAGTGTAATTCAACAGTTTCTCCGGAGCGTATGTTTGATCCATCACCATTTCTTTCTGCACATTTGTTGGGCAGTAGGTCCTTCAGGTGAACATAGAGAAAACAGAGGTGATGAAGATTCCTGGTCAACACCAACAGCAGCGACAACAACAACAGACAACAATCAGCCAGTATAAATGAGAGGAACCTGAAACAAACAACCTCCTTTACCTACCCACCTACCTGGGAAGCATCGTTTCAACTATAGGTGAAAGGAACTGACGAGGATATCAAAGCGTTAGAATTGGGAAAGCAAGACAAGCTTTCATTACTCACAAGTCTGTGTGGATTTTCAAGTCCAATGTGAAGTCAGTGTTACTCACTATGAGGATCAGAGACTTGGCGCGTCATAAAGAACACCTCAAACGAACTACTGACCTTCATCAACAGCTGTCTTTGCTCAATACTCAAGATTAGATGGCCAGAAACAGGGATCTCTGGCAATGAGCGAACCACCCAGGAACCGATTGTGCAACAACTAAGCAGGTAGAAATGGAGGTGGATTGGATCAATGTGTGAAAATCTCCTGCACTCAGCTAAAGCAAAATGCATGAACCAACCATAGACCTACTATTATGTATTATTATTTCCTTTAATTCCTAGAGAGACATAGGGCTTCAGCCGCGCGTCTCCATCGCCTTCGGTTCTCTACCGAAGTTTTCACCCCGCTCCAAGTCTGCCCACGTGTTTTTATCTCCTCTTCACATTGATATAAGAATAAAACTTGTGCACTGTGGTAGAGTATAATTCCATTATGGGTAAATTTTTGTTTTGATAAAGTCTCACAGTGCTTGTTTACTGAATGTTTACTGTATCAGGAAACATTACTGTATAACACTGTGAGACTTTATCAAAACAAAAATTTACCCATAATGGAATTATCCTCTTCAAATTAACTCATCCATGTCACCCTCTCACTAACGACCGACTCGCCGCTTCCATTTTGGGTCCTACTCGATGGCTTGTCTAGTGATGCCACTTGATGGTTTGTTTCCTCAGAGTATGGCCACCAATTCATCTCCATTTCTTCCTGCTTATTATTTGTTGCACAATCGGCTCCTGGTTGATTTGCTCACAGAGATCCCCATTTCTGATGTTTTCTGGCCAGCCATCTGATCTTGAGTAGCATTGAGCGAAGACAACTGTTAATAAAGTTCTGTAGTGTGTTTGAGATGCTCTTCATGACGCAGCAAGTCTCCGATCCATGTAGTGAGTAGCACTGACTTCACATTGGAGTTGAAAATTCGGATCTTATATTCGTTTTCATGCTGAGTGCTGTTGACCAGCACACATACTTGAGAGTAATGAAAGCTTGTCTTGCTTTTCCGATTCTGGCCTTGATATCCTCGTCAGTTCCGTTCACCTGTAGTTGAAACGATGCTTCCCAGGTAGGTGGGTAGGTAAAGGAGGTTGTTTGTTTCAGGTTCCTCTCATTTATACTGGCTGATTGTTGTCTGTTGTTGTTGTCGCTGCTGTTGGTGTTGACCAGGAATCTTCATCGTCACCTCTGTTTTCTCTGTGCTCACCTGAAGTCCTATCTTTGATGCTTCTTCCATCGCCAGCTTGTTGCTTTTCACATGCATATCTTCCAGTTTGTGGGGAATCAGACATATGTCATCATCGACGAAGTCCAGACCCTTCCATTTTTTTGTGAAGGTCCATTTTATGCCTGTTTCCTCGCAGCCCGCTGTCTGTCGCATTATCCAATCTACCGAAATCAGGAAAATAATTGCTGATGGTAGGCAGCCCTATCCTACTCCCGTCTTTAGTTCGAAGGATTCCGTAAGTTTCCCATTGTGGATTACTTGGCATGCAGCATTGTCGTACAACTGTTGGATGAGATTTATAATTGTCAGCGGCATCCCGTAGTAGCGAAGTAGTTAGAAAATCACCTGTCGGTCGACGCTGTCTGTCGAAGGCCTTTTCAAAGTCGATAAAGTTGAGAAAGAGAGGTGGAGAGCTGACTGCCATTCCAACCTCTGTTCAATGATTATCCGTAGTGTGGCGATTCGATCAATACATGACTTGTTTCTCTTGAATCCAGCATGTTCCTGTCGAAGTTTTCCATCCAGGATTGAATATCTGTAGAATAACTAGGCGAATCTTCTTAAAATAAAATAAAAAATACCTAAAGGGTTTGTTTAAATGAAGCAGACAGATTTTCAAAAAAGTTAGTCGTTATGAACAAAAAAGTATTTCCGATAATAAAAATCACTCTATCATTATTTTTTTATTTCTACTACTGGGATTCGAACCCGGGACCTTCCGGCTACAAGGCAAGCTCGTATACCATTCAGCCACTGGGACCCGATTCATTGGCTCGTGAATTCTAACTTCTACTAATTCGTGATTTAGCGCAACCCCAACCATTGTCGTTGGTGGGACATCTATCCACACACGTGACATCTAATTGGACCTCACTGGTCACGACTTCTCACTAGAACTCAGGAAAATCCAACCCGTAGCAAGTCACTAGCGAGCATCAGATTAACTTTCTATAGTTTGGTTTGTAAGGATTAATTATGTTTTACGAGTTGATCACTGATTGATATCAGTTAGAGAACCATTGAAAACCAAGGAGTACTGGACAGCTGCTGTTTCATCCTAGTTTGGGAATCATCGGCAGTACACACCCACTGCCGAACTAGGGGGAAACAACTGTCCAGTACTCCCAGGTTTTCCAGTTGTTCTCTGACCAATATCATCTCTTGATTATTATTGTTCCCTTGGGTTCCTAGTGGAACATACGGCTTCAAATGCACTTCTCCACTTGCTTCTGTCTTCCTCCTGCTGTACTTTTCACCTGCATCCACCATGTTAGTCCATCCTGTTTCAACTCCTCTTCACACGATCTCCTCCATGTCACCCTCGCACTGACGACCCACTCGCTGCTTCCCTTTTGTCCTGGTTCCACTCGAGCAATGACCTGACGCGCGCGCGACGTCACCCAGCAGCCACTTCAGCCTTGAGTGTCCAATCCATCTCCACTTTCTCCTGCGTATTTGTTGGTTGGCGATTGGTTCTTGTTTTGTTTGTTACTTCCCATAGCTTCTTGTTGGTGATTCTTTCCGGCGCGGCCGTCTGATCTTCAGTATAGAGCGAAGACAGTTGTTGGTTGATAAAGGTCTGCAATAGACTGTTGGAAGTATTCTTTGTGACTCGTCCGCCCGCCAAGTTTCTCATCCGTATAGAAGAACTGACTGACTTGACGTTGTTTGTATTGAAAATCCGGCCGAATTATGTTGTTGATGCTGGCTGAATGACGAAGATTTCCAGATTGGTTTCAGGTTGATGAGTGAATGTGTTTCTCGCCAACGTGTTCCCGATTCTCGCTCGATTTGACATCCTCGTCCGTTCCGACTGCCTATAGTTGAGACAATGCTCCCTAGATAATGAAGTGAATGAACAACCTCTTTCAAATCCCTCCAGTTGATGGTGATTGGCGCTGGATGTTGCTGGTGTTGTTGTTGTTGGTGAAGGTGGTTGCTTATTTTCATAACTTCCGTCTTGTCTATGTTCACCTTGAGTGCTGTCTTCGCCGGCTGGTTCTTCGATCAGTTTGTCGATCGGTTTTCGCTTGTAGGTCTTCGATTTTGTGTGACATCAGGCATAAATCATGCACAAGCGAAATCCAGGTCTTCTAGGTTCTTCACGTCTGTCTGTCTGTCCAGGATATCCCTGTCTTCTCGTTTCCCACTCACTGTCTGACGCATAATCCAGTCCACCACAATTCGGAATACCATTGGTAATTGGGGAAGATTTGTAGCTCACTTGGATGATATTGAATTATCTGTGTTCTCTGAGCAGCTGGTTGATTTAATTGAGGAGCTTTCATCTCCTCCCCCCGCTTCTAGAACAGAGAAGAGAACACAACTAATTCAAGATATGTGACTTATAAGTGAATAAACTGCAATGAATTATCAATGCGAAAATGACATGTGCGAGTGTTTTATAAGCCAATTTCAGGCAGATAAGACGTGTTAGGTGAATGACAGATCAAAATTAATATTATAAATGGATCATAGTTCAGTTACATCACTTAAGTAGACAATTATTAATCAGAGAAGGAACTTTAAAATGTCAGGAATTGTAAACTTATTAATATTAATAATTACAGTAGTAAGAGTAAAAATAATGACAATAGTAAAACGAGTTAAGATAACAGTACTGATAAAGGATAGTTTCAGATGAATCAGGAATATTCTCAAGGATTGGTTTTGTAGGGTTTTTTTTGATTGGTTAGAGGACTTCATGATGAGCTGATATCAGTTAGAGAACCATTAGAAGACCAGAACGGAGTACTGGACAGATGTATCATCCTAGTTTGGGACTCTTCGACAGTATGCACCCACTGACAGTGTTCATACCTGGGATGTGATGGTCACAAGGCGAGCTAGTAGACCATTCAGCAGCTGCCACTGGAACTCGATCCAATGACCAGGCAATGAATTCTAACTCCTGTCGATTCGTGACATAGCGTGACCAATTCGAAGCGTTTCCTTCAATGAGTTATTGCCTCACCTTCAACCTGCTGGTGCACCTTATTGGTCACTAACAGCTCATGATGAAATCCTCCAACGAATCCGGAATAATAATAATAATAAAAGGTAGAATAAAAAATTTCAAGTGACTACCATTATTTTCTTCTGTACACAGAAATCGAGTTTACAAAACTCTACTACTTACAAAGGTGTCTGCAGTTGCATGTATCTTATTGTTTATTTGTCTGGTGACAACAGTAAATGACTTGGCATCATCAATATATATATATATATATATCATGTCCATAGTCTACAAAATGCTTTATTTTAATGAACTTTTGGATACTTTGACTTCAGTTATTTTCAACTACTTTGTCACTGATGATCTGAATAATTTTGGGTTCTAAACGAAATTGCGATCAACTTTCACCCTCTTTGGAATTGGGTAATTCCCTGAAGGCGATTTAACCAACAAATTGTGAATTTTATTCAATATATATGTATCAGTAGTTTACCCAACCAACTAGGCAGAATTCGGGTGGTTTGAACTGATTCGAATCTCTAGGAAGAGTTGGACCGGGTTCATCGCTGATGATGAGCTCTGCCTCAAACGAGTGTTTACATCATGAGCGGTGTGCAACTCTTTTGCAATTAATAGTGTTCTCTGAGCTGTTTGGTTTAGTTGTGGAGCTTTCGTCATCTTTCTCGATGACATCTTCAGCGCAGTATTTACGATAAAGTGAAATGATTTCAATTTCTTCATGAGTGATATAATTGCGTCTCCCGGTAACCATTTTACATCTATATTGAACACTTTCTATTGACTTGGATTTTAAACTTTCTGGTCACATGATTTACCTTTTATTAGTTGGTGTATTTAGTATATATTAACGTGTTTGTTGATTGCATTTTCGTTTGAGTACCTGGCTTGTAGGAATTTCCTGACTGCACTTATGGTGGTGTTTCCTCTGTCTACGATTCCGACATTGTCCCAATCATCAAATTGATGTCCATAATTGTCTATATGCATTGATACTAAAGAATATATATCGTGTCTTTTCACGACTGATTTGTATTCCTGCATTCTGATTCGAAGGGGACGCCCACTTCGACCACCGATATAGTACCTGTTACAGTTCATTTATGCAATTTATTTTGTCAATGGTATAAATTTGATCTCCCTTTTCTGTTGGATGGATGTTTCGGTTTGCATAATATCGAATTAAGCGATTTGACTGGCTGGCTTGTGTGCTATATCTATATCAAACGCTTTCAGTATTCTAGCTGTTGTTATTTCAGAGATATTTCTCATGTATGGTAGGATGAATCTTTTTCTTGTGGTCTTTGATGATGGTTCCCTGTTGGTGTTGTGATTCGATTTTAAACACTTTTTGATGAAATTGTGACGGGGATATCTATTCTTTTTGAAGACCGTTTGTAGGTATTTTTCTTCCATTCTTTTCAACTCTGGAGTGCTACAGTGTGTTTGATCTCCCCTTTGAACAATGTCTGCATACAATTTCCTTTGTCAATAATTCGATTATTCCTAGTACACTTGACAAAAAACTTGGAGGATATGGACTTCGCCGATCATATATGTCTGAGTTCCCACAAACTGGAAGATATGCAACTGAAAAGCAACAACTTAGCGATAGAAGAAGCATCAAAGATAGGACTTCAGGTGAGCACAGAGAAAACAGAGGTGACGATGAAGATTCCTGGTCAACACCAACAGCAGCGACAACAACAACAGACAACAATCAGTCAGCATAGATGGGAGGAACCTGAAACAAACAACCTCCTTTACCTACCCACCTACCTGGGAAGCATTGTTTCAACTACAGGCGAACAGAACTGACGAGGATATCAAAGCAAGGATTGGGAAAGCAAGACAAGCTTTCATTACTCTCAAGTATGTGTGCTGGTCAACAGCACTCAGCATGAAAACGAATATAAGATCCGGATTTTCAACTCCAATGTGAAGTCAGTCGGTGCTACTATACGGATCGGATACTTGGCGCGTCATGAAGAGCACCTGAAACACACCACAGATCTTCATCAACAGTTGTCTTCGCTCAATGCTACTCAAGATCAGATGGCTGGCCAGTAAAGATCAGCAACAGGGAGGGATCTCTAACAATGAGTGAATCAACCGAGCAGGAACCGATTGTGCAACAAATAAGCAGGTAGAAATGGAGATGGATTGGCCATACTCTGAGGAAACCATCAATTGACATCACTAGACAAGCCCTCGAGTGGAACCCGAAAGGGAGGCGGCGAGTTGGTCGTCCAAGGGTGACTTGGAGGAGGTCATGCGAGGAGGAGATGAAAGCATGTGGACAGACCTGGAGCGGGATGAAAAAGTTGTCAGGAAACAGAAGGCAATGGAGGTGCGCAGCTGAAGCCTTATGTTCCTCTAGGAATTAAAGGATGAAATAATACATACTACACATGAGTATTAGATCTATGTGCGTTGATTTTCTATATACCTGAGTGTTTACAAATTTCCCGTGTTGGTTCTCCTGATTTAGACATCTAAAAATAGGATTTTTTTTATCTAATTCTTCTTCTCTCGTTGTGAATTCGACGTCTTCGTATATGTTGTTTATTAATTTATGGGTGTATTCTAAATCACATTTCTCTTAATTATTATAAAAGTGTATCATCCACGTAACGTACCTGTCCAGATTTTCGGCTTAATTATAGGTAGAGCTATTAATTCTAATCTTTGCATGACAGTATGGTATGCAACTCTACTCATTTCGGCCAGTCAGTAGTATATACATATACACACTCATCCTTTTTTATTACTTATTTGCAAGACATAAGTAAATAAAACAGATAATAAAAGTCATCAAGTACAAAAATTTTATCTTTTATCAATTTAGTGACAAAAAATGAACAGATTACTGGAAATATGACATCTATACGGACAGTGGGCGATGATGGTGGCGCTGGTGGTGGTGGGGATATCAATGCTAACAGTATGAGACGACAGTCAACAAACACAGCGACACCTACAACCCTACCAACAACAACAACAACAACAACAACCACTACTCCTACAACTCCACCTACTGCGTTATCAGCAACTGGTATCATCCCGAGTATACCACCAGTAGTACAATATCCAGGTAGTATGACAGAGTCAAATAGCAGCACAACTGCTAATAATATGATTAGTAGTACTGGGAATAATAATAATAATAATACTAATCAAGCCGGTGGTGGTCCTCAGCGTATTGGTCTATATTATCTTGGTCCTACACTTGGTCGGGGTAATTTTGCTGTTGTCAAATTAGGAAAACATTCTCAGTTAGCTGTAAAGGTAAAGTTAATTTCAACTTTTTCTTGTCTGCTTTATTTATTGGGTTTGAAAGTTTACTGTCTGATGTCAGATTGTAACAACAGAAGACGAGGGCCAGCCAGGCAACAGATCGTTTATTCACGAAATCAACACATATTTATAGATTTTCATGTACATTATTATGGATTATTGTTAGCAAACAAACACAGTCTTCTGATTGGTTGTTTCTCACTGAAAGTTAACCTTGCATCTCTTTGTGACTGTTTCTTGAATGTCAGATCATCTATATGCCAACTGTATTCGCCTACGCAAAGCCTTTGTTCTCATATTTTCTCACAACCAATAATGGGGACGCACACATTGACGTAAATTACTATCTTGCAGTTTTGGCTAGCAGCCAGCCCTCACCACACTCGTCCGCCTGTCAAAGACTTGCGACTGAAGTTGGTTCGGTCTTCTTGTTCCTAGGGGCTTTGCTCGTTTTTCTTACTGTCTGGAATCTCGGCACTCGCTGATGTTCACCTGTTTCTCTTTGTTTACCATTGCGACTGTGTCTGCGTAACCCCGCCATCTCAAAGTGATCATATGTGGTCCTCCTTACTTTGGAAACTGTTTGCCTGACCCTGTCTCACATTCGTCAGTATTTCGGCTCACACTTCCATATGCTGCTTTCTCCCAACCTCCCAGCAGCGTCCTAAGTAGCAACCTCATCGCTGATAGATCTTGAACGCCACTTAACTGCACAGAAGCCTGGAAGTCCTGCCCGAAGATCTATATGTCTCCATCAAAAGCTGCAGGGCATAGGCTTTCCATTTGTCGGTAGGCAGCGACACCAACTGTGACGACAGAATACAAGGACCAGGCAACAGGTCGTTTATTATGGAAATCAACACATATTTATAGATTTACATGTACATATTATAGATTGTTGTTGGTTGTTTCTTACTGAAAGTTAATCTTTCATCTCTTTGTGACTGTTTCTTGAATGTCAGATCATCTATGTATTAACTGTATCCGCCTACCCAAAGCCTTTGTTTTCATTTTTCTCACGACCAATATTGGGGACATAAACATTGACGTAAATTTTTGTCCACCAATTTTGACTAACAGCCTGCTCTCACCACAAGATAACTGAATGCAAATCAAGTTATTTTGGTTGAAAATGACCTACAGTGAAACCCAACATGTGCACTTCTCCCCATTCGGGACTCGTCATCAGGATGCATCTGCATGTCACTCAGTGAGTGAGTGTATTCTTCCTACTGAGATTAAAATTCATTGCTTCAATCTATAGACATCGTTGGCATGTCTGTACTAAGGGCTAGCATTTCAACAGAAACCGAGTATTTCTGCCCAATATACAATCAACCAACGGAAAGTGTTAGTTTGTGATGAGAGCTGGCTGCTAGCTAAAGTTGTTAGACAGTAATTTACGTCAATGTTTGTTTATTATTATTATTGTTATTATTGTACCCTTTAGTTCCTAGAGGAACATAGGGCTTCAGCTGCGCGTCTCCATTGCCTTCGGTTTTTTGCCAACTTTTTCACTCCGCTGCAAGTCTGCCCACTTGCTTTCATCTCCTACTCACATGACCTCCTCTGAGTCACCTCTCATTAACGACCAAATCGCCGCCTCCGTTTTGGGTTCCACTCGAGCGATGGCTGGTCTAGTGATGTCACTTGATGGTTTGTTTCCTAAAAGTGTGGCCAATTCACCTCCATTTCTACCTGCTTATTTGTTGCACAATCGGTTCCTGCTCGGTTGATTCACTCATTGCCAGAGATCCCTCCCTGTTGCTGATCTTTTCTGGCCAGCCATCTGATCTTGAGCAGTATTGAGCGAAGACAACTGTTGATGAAGATCTGTGGTGTGTTTCAGGTGCTCTTCATGACGCGCCAAGTATCCGATCCGTATAGTAGCACCGACTGACTTCACATTGGAGTTGAAAATCCGGATCTTATATTCGTTTTCTGAGTGCTGTTGACCAGCACACATACTTGAGAGTAATGAAAGCTTGTCTTGCTTTTCCGATTCTTGCTTTGATATCCTCGTCAGTTCCTTGCCTGTAGTTGAAACGATGCTTCCCAGGTAGGTGGGAGGTAAAGGAGGTTGTTTCTTTCAGGTTCCTCCCATTTATGCTACTGATTGTTGTCTGTTGTTGTTGTGCTGCTGTTGGTGTTGACCAGGAATCTTCATCTCACCTCTGTTTTCTCTATGTTCACGTGAAGTCCTATCTTTGATGCTTCTTCTGCCAACTTGTTGCTTTTCACTTGCATATCTTCCAGTTTGTGGGAAATCAGACATATATCATCGGCGAAATCCAGATCCTCCAAGTCTTTTGTGTGAGTCCATTTTATGCCTGTTCCCTCGTTGGTTGCCGTTGTCTGTCGCATTATCCAATCTTCTGCAATCAGGAAGATCATTGGTGATAGTAGACAGCCTTGCCTCACTCTCGTCCTTACTTCGAAGGCTTCCGTAAGTTTCCCGTTGTGGATTACTTGGCATGCAGCATTGTCGTATAACTGTTGGATGAGATGTATAATTGTCGATGGGACCCCGTAGTAGCGAAGTAGTTGCCAAATGACCTCTCGATCGACGCTGTCGAAGGCCTTTTCAAAGTCGATGAAGTTGAGATAGAGAGGTGACTGCCATTCCAAGCTTTGTTCAATGATGATCCGTAGAGTGGCGATTTGATCAATACATGATTTGTTTCTCCTGAATCCGGCCTGTTCCGGTCGAAGTTTTTCATCTAGGGCTTGTTTGATTCTCTCCAGGATGATGCGACTTAGTATTTTGCTTGGAATGGACAGAAGCATAATTCCACGCCAGTTTTTACATTGACTTAAGTCTCCTTTCTTTGGTAGTTTGAATAAGTATCCGTTCTTCCAATCCTCGGGTACTTTGCCCTCTTTCCACACCTTCTCCAGCAGTGGCGTCATCAAGTCCGCTGTTGTCTCTGGGTCTATTTTCAAAGCTTCTGCTGGGATTCCATCTGGTCCTGGTGCTTTCCCAGATTTTAGCATCTTGATTGCATTCAGGACTTCTGATTTCGTCGGGGGGTCAGTGTTCACTGGTAGTTCTGCTTCCGTTGTTGGTATTGTTGGGCGTGTTGTAGGTGGCGGACGATTTAGAAGTCTTTTGAAGTGTTCAACCCAGTGCTTTCTCTGTTCCACCTCTTTGGTGATTGACTTTCCATTGTCGTCCTTTATTGGCTTAATCTGTGTCGAACGTTTGCCCGAAAGGTGCCTAGTTGTTTGGTAGAGTGTGGCGAGGTCTCCTTTGCCTGCAGCTTGTTCTGCTTCGTTTGCCATGGTTTCATAATATTTTCTTTTGTCTTCCCTGGCACTCTTCTTCACTCTTTTGTTCAGTGTATTGTAGCTTGCATTCAGCTCCTGTTTTTGTTGCTCGTCAGTGCACTGGATAATCTTTTGTTTCACTGTCCTTCTCTCTTCTATTAGTTTCCAAGTGTCCGTAGTGAGCCACTGTTTGTCCTGTCTCTTCTTTCTGCCTAGAACTTCCATGCAGGTTTGACTCCACACCGTTTTCAAGTTGTTCCAGTGCTTTTCGACGCTGACCTTTTCGCTGGTGTTGATTTGTGTCTCGGCTTTGTCCTTTATGCTTGCAATGAAGATGTCCTTTGTAGCCTGGTCCTTCAGCTTTTGAGTGTTGAACTTGGCTTGTGGTCTATCTGCAGCTCCTGATTCCCTGAAAGCTTTTAATTTGATTTGGATTGTCCCTTGTACGAGATAGTGGTCTGAGCCAACGTCTGCTCCTCTTCTTGCTTTTGTGTCCAGTAGGCTGCGCCTCCACTTCCTTGAGATTGAGATGAAGTCGATTTGGTTTTTGGTTTGCCCGTCTGGTGACACCCATGTAGCCTTGTGGATATCTTTGTGCTTGTATACACTGCCACCAATCACTAGTTCGTTGAAGGCGCAGAAGTCGGCGAAGAGTTCTCCATTTTCATTCATTTCTCCGAGAGCTTCTCTACCCATGATGAGTTCCCTTCCTATATTGTCTGGTCCCAGTTTGGCGTTCATGTCTCCCATTAGTATTTTCATGTCGCCAGCTGGAGTATTGTCCATTGTTGCCTGTAGTTGTCTGTAGAATTCTTCTTTCTTTTCGAGGTCTGCGTTGTTTGTGGGTGCATAACATTGTATGATTGACACTTTCCTTCCTTTGGAGTTGAATCTGGCGGTCATTATCCTGGACGAAATCGCCTCCCATTGTATCAGGGCTTTCGTTGCCGTTGGTGACATCATGATAGCCACGCCCTCGGTGTGCGTGTGGTTATCTTCTGGGTGACCGGAGTAGATCACTGACTCACCCGTTGACAATTTGGTGAGTCCACTCCCATTCCATCTGCTTTCACATATTCCCAGCACTTGGATTCCGTATCTTTTCATCTCGTTGGCGATCTGGGCAGCTTTCCCTGTCTCGTACATAGTGTGGACGTTCCATGTCCCCACACAGACTTTTTCTTTTGGTGGTGGAGGTTCATTGTGCTGAAGTTTCTGTAGCAATTTTGTTTACAGGGTGGGGTTGCTAGCCTCACGCCTGAGAAAGAATGGTTACATTAAGATAAAGTTTAGAGAGAAGCGACCTTTTGGGTTGCTTCCCTTAAAATTGGAAAATAACGGGCAGAACAATCAGAACAACACCAGCAAAAGGAAAACAGTTCACAGCAAAAAGGGCAAAAAGCGACAACAACGATACAATACAACAACATGCAATATAGTTCAGCACAGTTAACTAAAATGATATCTCAACCATAAACTCACTGTCTTGGAACAACTTGAACATGTAAATCCAACAATATATACAATTATAGATGTGCTTATGTTTAAAAATTTCACAAATCCAAATAGTTAGTTATAGGTATTATCTATCAATAAGATTATATCCCCTGATTTAGTGTTCGAAAGGTAAATAATTGTAATAGTTCCCACAAACTCTTGGTATTAAATTTTACAGAAACAAGAGTTTCTATAAAATTAGGGAAAAGTAGCGCAGTAGTCGAAAA